ATACTCATAACTTCATAAGGACTGTATTATCCATGCACCTAATTATTGAAAATAATAATAAACAAAGGCTCTACATGAGAGACCTCATATCACAATAATGAATCTACAGTTAAACTAAAATTTTGGTAAATAATAGATTTCTATGATCAGTTTTTCGGTTCCTAAGCAAACATCTCGTACGTGATAATCTTAAGAAATGACAAATCTCCCATTCTATAGTATTATGATTACAATAATTTGTATAGAATATTTTTCATAACTTCATACAAACCTTCTATATCATGACATTAATTTAGCAATTGTAATTAATTAATTCTTTAATTAACCCAGTTAACCTTATCATTATTACAAGCAAGCAAATAAAAGCTAAATGGTGTAAGAACTGCCATTCTTTAATTAATTAATTCTTTAATTAATTAATTCTATATCATGACATTAATTTCTATGATTAGTTAATCCATTTTTTGTTGAAACATTTTTTTTTTTTTTTTTTTTGCCTGAAAATATAATTATAGCAAGAGAGGCCAAAAGTTCAAGGTCCCTAGAACTCAACCGGCTTCAATTCAGCACAAAACCTGTCGACCTCAACTCGGGCGACAAATAATTTTCTCAAGGGCACAAGTTCACGTGTTATTTATTTATAAAGGGGTAAATGTAAATTTCATTGCACCATAAATCTTTCTCACGTGTTTTTTTTTTTTTTTTTTTGCATAAAAGTCAATTAATTTAACTTGATTATTGAACGATTCAAGATGTATTTATATTGCAAAATATTTAGCATTTGAAATTATTTTCGTCATACTGACAACGACGAAAAAAAATTAGCATTTAACAATTTAATTAATAATTAAATTTATTTATTTATTGCTATCAAAAACTCTAGTCGAAATATAAATGTAAATTGCATTTCACAATTAATTGTGTTCCAACATTCTATTTTATTTTAGTGTTTAAGCAATAGAAAACTACCAAATGAAAGAAATTAGCAACAAGCCGACAAGGATTGAGGCTTCATGCACCCCAACAAGCACTGCTCATGCTGGGCCCGATATCATATGTTTAAGGTTGGTGGAGGATTCAAAGCAATTATCTCATGTTTGAAGCAATCATTGTGAGATTACAGTAACGGACACTAGCTTTACATGTTTGAAGCAATCATTGAGTTTCATAGGTTATTATTATCATGCATGTCATAACCCAAAAAAAAAAAAAATGAAAAAATGAAAAAATAAAAAAAATTATAATAATAGCTTTTATTTTGAAATGTTTATTTCTTTATTTCTAGTTTATTTCATTTTATTTTTATCTTATTTTATTTTTGAAAAAAAAAGAGAAGAAAAAAAAGAAAAAAATATATACAAAATCTTCAAGGGCATAATTGAATCGATTAAAAAAATTCAATACTCGAATTGCTATTTGTGGGGACCAAATTGAAAAAAAAATATTCCTTACATGACTCGAAATTGTGCCAAATAGGCATGATTGCAAACAATTAAGATTTTCGGGGACCAAAGTGGAAGCTTGGAAGAATGACATGACTAAAGTTGAACGAATGACATGTCGTTCACTCCAGCCCAAAATTTCACTCCCGATTCCCTCCAAAATTTGATTGAAAGTTATCCTAATCCTCTAACCGTTTTTGGATTTTTTCGAATTCAATTTATCCCGATTATTTAGTTAATCAAATTCGAAATCAATAAAAGGATTTTGAGTTCAAATAGGTTATGTAAAAATTTGAATTTTGAAAGTGTTTGAGTTTGAGTGAAATTCGAATGGGAATGCCTATAAAAGAGATAAGAATTAGAAGGAAAGAGGAGAAAAAGAAAGAGTAAAAAACAAAGGAGAGAGAATTCGGTTGGAGAGCAATGATCGAAAGCTTTTAGATCCAATAATTGCTTTATATTTTTCTCGGGTTTTTTCGGGTTTAAGGGTTGAAGTTCTTGAATTCGGGTTGCGGATTCTTCAATAGTTGGCCTTTTAAATCTGTTGTTTTGTTTTCTTTTAGACTAATTCTCAATTGTTACGTGTTTCTCAATTTCAATCCTTGAAATTTGGGGATCAATTCGTCCATTGGGGAATTTTCTCCTTTGAATTTCCGGCGACCTTTGAAGATACTGCGAGATTCTGGGTTCGTGTTCTTCGTGTTCATCGAGCACTACCCAATTGCATTCCCACATCCAAGCGACTTCCGACATTAAATTCGTGGTTCCTAAACGTGATTCAATTGTCTTGAAAAGCCTAATGACCTTTAATTCAATCGAAATCGTCCCTAAACAACCATCATCAAATTCGTCGAGTCAATAGTTTTGTTTTTTTCTTTCTTTCTCGTTTTCTTTCTTTTCAATCCGAAATTGATTATTGATCACTTAAACATTGTTAGCTACCGTTTTGAATTTATATGGCTGGTTCATAATCGAAAATGAGATGTTTGTTTAAATTGCATGAATAAAATGAAGTCGGGATTCGGGAAAATAAAAAAATAGAGAGAGAAACACGAAGAACAGGAGAGAGAGGCAAGTATGAACATGAGAGAGAAAGTATCTAAGGGCTATTAGATCCGTTTCTTTGATTGTTTTCGAGTTTGGGCTTGTTTTTGTTCCGAGCCCAATTAAAAAAATATATAAAAACAATAAGAACCGGGCTGGATCGATCTCGAGTCCAGCCCAGCCCGTGCGTCCTCGCAACAAAAAAAAAAAGAGAGGGCCGGGCCATTCTCAGTCCAACCTGACCCGAGCCCTTTACGCCCAAAAAAAAAAAAGGAAAAAAAAAAGGGAAATGAAAAAATAGAGTTAGAAAAGAAAAAGAAGAAAAAAGAAAAATGGGGATGAAAAAAAGAAAGAGTAAAAGTGGTAGGTTAATACTTTAGGTATAGGATTTTTTTTTTTTTTACTTTTCTTGTCATTTATTTATTTTTTTACCTCGCTTATATAGGATGATTTTTTTTGTATTTTTTGTATTTTTTTCATTTAATTTTTTTCTGTTTATTTTATTTCTTATAGTTTTCTTTATTAATTTAGAATTTTTATTTCAAATTTTTTTCTTTTCTTTAATATGTATTACTAGAAAATTATATATATATATATATATTTGACGAAGTCTCCTACCCGATAGGGACCGACATCACAAAAAAAAATTGGCGAAGCCTCCTATTTGATAGGGGCCGACGCCACAAAAAATCACCTTTTAATCAAGACGTCCTCCGACACATCGGTTGTGTCAAGGCTTCTAGTGGATCCGATGTTTGAATCGACGTGTCACCCACCGAAGGGGACCGACGATTGGTTCAATACGATGTCACGCTCAACACTAAAAATATATTTTGTTAAGATAATACTTTTCGTTTAAGATTTAGAAAACCAATTGGCATATATGAACAATATAGGAGATAAATTCAGGATTAAAACAAGATGTGGTACCTTTCTTCGGAAAGGGCACTTTTAGGGTGAATAATTGTCTTTCTAAAAGTGTAACCAACTCGCTTACCATAGAATCTCTAGACCATTGTTATTTTTAGATTCCTCGTTCTTTAATACTAGGTGGCGATTCCAAAGCTCTATAAATAAACTTGTAAATATCAATCATTTTAGCATTTTTAATATTAGGAGTCTCGTCCGACGTCGGGTAACGACAATGCATTTTTGTTATTTTTTGTGTTAGTGGGGATTTGTTAAATAAATTCATCTTTTCAATTTTTTTTACCGACACGCTCTATGGTTTTTCAGCTAAAGATATCAAAGCTGAATTGTGGAGCAACAAGATGAGGATGAAATGTTGAAAAGCAAGAGGAACTTTTACACAAGAATTCACAGCTCCTAAGTTCTCTGTCTTCTGTGATTGAGAAGGTAATTTGCACATCCATCTAGCTACTTCATAGATCATGTAAAAATAGTCAATTTGTAAATTATCATAGCTAATGGAGAATTTTAATCTATAGTGGATATATAAGTGTGTCTGAGTTTGTTTGTGTAATAAAAAATCATTGATAACAAATAGCAGATATAAAAAATGAACTTTATACATATATATATATATATATATATATATATATATATATATATATATATATATATATATATACACGCTAAAATGATGTTTCATTATTGCTAAAAGCACGCTACAGTAAAGTAAACAAATCGACATCATTTTAGGTGTTTTATTTTTTTGGCTTCAAATGATATCGTTTGTCTAAAATAATAATAATAATAATAATAATAATTAAGTGATTTTTTAAGACATTTTAAGCATATTTTTTACACTTTTTTCTTTAGAATTATACTTTTGTACGAAACAGTTCCTAAATTTCATTTTTCTTATGCTTTATTTTTTTAATTATTTATTATTTGGTCAAAATATATTTTTTAAAATAGTCAATGGTTATTTTTTTATCCTTTATAGGCTTATTAACTAAAATTATTCGCTCTTCTAATATAGCACCCTTTTGTATTTATTTTTTAAAAAGTAATTAATTACATTTTTTTTATTGATCAAAATCAAACATATTCATAGGATATATTTGAAACATATTCATAGGATATATTTGAACTTAAACATAAAATATAAATATTTTATTAACAACTGAATGACACATATTAAACTAAACAAATTCTCATAATTAATATTGATTAATTTTTATTTTAAACCTAGATGTTTTAAATTAATTAAGATATTAAACATATTTTATAGATTTATCAGCTACAAAATGAAATTTTGTAGAGAGACAAAATCCCTTAGAAGACAGAGTAGAGAGAGTTTTTATATTTCACTAATATAAATACTATATCTCAATCAAGTATTTGAGAGAGTTTTTATATTTCACTAAATCCCTTAGAATCATATTTTAAATGTCGTAGAGAGACAAGCATAAGCAGTTGATTTGGCCATGTTAAATGCTTTAGCTAAACATGAAATGTATAAACTTACAAATTTGGGGAGCCTAACTTTAGAATCCATGGTCTTAGGTAAGAAGACAAGTTGGTGGGTTTAGAAGACAGAGTAGAGAAATGGCAGAGTCAGCAGTCAGCTTTGCTATTGACAAGTTGGTTCCATTGCTAACAGAAGAAGTGACACTACTGAAAGGCATTCATGAAGAAGTTGTAGTTATCAAAGATGATTTGGAAGCCATCAAAGCTTTCCTGAAGGATGCAGATTCGAAGGCAAAGAAAGAAGGCATTAATGAGGGTGTGAAAGTATGGGTCAAGCAAGCAAGGGAAGTGGCCTATCAAATTGAAGATGTCATTGACGAGTACATGCTTCATGTTGCACAGCATCACGAGCGACGTGGATGTGTAGGCTTCGTACATAGAATTGCTTCCTTAGTTATAAAATTGCAGCCACGCCATGAGATAGCATCAGAGATTCAAGATGTTAGAATTGCTTCATGTCTACATTGAGGAGTGATCCACATATTGAGAATGTCGCTAAAATTCTCTCTCTCAGTTATGGTGATCTGCCTTACTATCTTAAATCTTGTTTTTTATACTTGGGCATGTTTCCAGAGGATTTTTCCATTGGACGTGGAAGGCTAGTTCGATTATGGGTAGCTGAAGGTTTTGTATAAGAAAGGCAAAGCATGACTCTAGAAGAGGTTGCACAAGAATACTTAATTGAACTTATTCATCAAAGTTTGGTTCAAGTGGATTCTTTTAGTTTTAAAAGAACTCGCGACCTATTTCGAGTTCATGATTTGGTGCATGAGGTCATTCTTTCCAAGTCAGAGGAATTGAGTTTCTACCATGTTTCAAGTAATTGCTCAAACTTTAAAAGCATGGCTAGACACCTTTCTATAAGCAACAGCACAAGTGTGAATCGAAAAAGCAGCACCAAGTCACAAACACGCTCTATTATGATCCTCAATGGAATAGAGCTTCAAAAGCCTGTAATTGATTGGATATTTGGAAAATGCATACTGTTGACTGCATTAGATTTTGAAAACTCTCCAATAAATTACATTCCCAAAGAATTGGGAAATTTGCTGCATCTTAAGTATTTCAACTGAAGAAAAACTAAGGTGTCAAAACTTCCAAGATCAATTGGGAAGCTGCAGAACTTGGAGTTCTTAGATGTGAGAGAATCTCTAGTGAGAGAGTTGCCGATTGAGATTAATAGATTCTTCAAATTGCGATATCTTTTTGGTCATCCTGGATTAAAGGTACCTGGCAGCATTGGGCATCTAGAGTTCTTACAAACGCTATATGGAATTAGATTAGATGATCATTAAAGTGTGAGATTAGTTAATGAATTAGGAATGTTGAAGCAACTAAGAAGATTGTGGATTACTGATTTGAAAAAAAGATATGGAAGGGATCTGTGCACTGCAGTAGAGAGGTTGACTCAACTGCGAGCGCCATATGTTAGTATAATCAATGAGAGTGACATTCTTGAAATGCAATCTATGTCTTCTCCTCCTGCTCACCTTCGAACTCTTGCACTTGGGGGATAGTTAGAAAGGTTTCCTAATTGGATTTCCAAACTACAAAATGTAGTTCAATTGAGTTTGTGGTATTCAAGATTAAGGGATGATCCGATAAAAGTCCTCCAAGCTTTGCCTAATTTAAAATATCTTGTGCTGATTTTTGGATACAATGGAGAGAAGGTGCATTTTGAAGAAGGAGGGTTTCAAAAGCTCAAGGAATTAAGTCTTACAGGGTTGAATGAGTTGAAAACGATGACAATAGACAAAGGAGCAATGCCTCTTCTTGAATCGCTAGCAATAGGACCTTGCCCACTATTGAAGGAGGTGCCCTCTAGAATTCAACACTTGAAACACCAAAAAGAGCTATACTTTGATGGGATGTCAAATGAGTTCACACAAAGGTTGTCACGTGAACAAGGAGAAGCTATTGGATAGTGAAGAATGTACCAATTCTCCAATATGATGGTACGTACGACCCTGATGATCAAAGATCTTATCAAAGAATGGTGAACTTGATTTGATTACAGGTACATACACACCCCTATTCATTTAATCATTTATTCAGAATGCAAATTAAGTGACAGTTTTACAATAATTTTTGCTACTTTAACTCATGAAAAGCAATACTTCTAATTTCATATAACTAGATTTGAGTGTTTAAAAAGTTCTTATACCCTCTCTTATTTTAATTTTCAATTTATTAATGATTCTTTTTCTTCTTATTTTATGAATGTCAAATTCACATGTACTATAAAAATATGTGGTGTGTTTTTGCTCTAAGAACTAATGATAATATGACCATATATTTTTTCCTTCAAAAAAAAAAAAAATCTTATAAATTGGTCAATATGTAAGTTTATTTGTTTCTTGTTTGATGTTCAATATATATGTTCAATAATGAATATATATATATATATATATATATGAAATTTTAGGGACCAGAAAACTTTGTTCCATTTTATGTATTTCCTAATAGAAGCAAACATAATGCGTGTATTGATCGGTTTGAAAGTCAGGAGTGATAGTTGATTTGGGTAAATGGTCCAAAATTACCTTAGATTATTGGTCAATAACGACTTAATCTCTAGCCATTCATTTTTTTTTTCATTTTCTGAAATGTTTTTTTTTCTTTTTTATCATTCTCCAACTCTCAAAGTACTACTCATTGTTTGTGATACGTAATTATGTTGATTATATATATATAGAAAATTTTTAATACATGATTTTATTTATTTTTCTTATTAGCTAGCCTCCATCGATGACTACCATTCAAGAAATTCTACCAAACTACTGTTGAAGGGATGATTACTCCAGACATATGTGTGTGTTGTTATGTTGTGATTATTCTAAGCAGTGGAACTTGTTTTCAGTGTTACCATTGTTATTATTTGTTGTGTTGCATTGGTTTTGTATTGATTTTGCTTTGATTTGATTGATTCTCCTTGTAATAATTACTCATCGACCAACTTATACAATTCTCTGTGTATTTCTCCTTAATGCTATTAACTATTTAAGCCAGTGTTGTTGTTGCCGAGAGAATCAGATTCAGCTAAATATTTAAACTTTATGTTGGTTCGCTGTAATTCTTTTTTTAATAAGCCAAAGATACATAACACCAAGGAGACAAAAAAGCCAATTGCCTTGCAGAAGAGCGAAAGCAGATATAAATCTGCACAAGAAGCAAGAAAAACCAAACAAACATTACGAATACAAAATCGTAAAAACTGCAGAAAACCAGGAACCTCAATGGAAGCAGCATGAGGCGAAGGAGCAATTGATCGAGGACAATTAGTAAACCACCCCCATTTGAAATGCGGTCTCTGTTTTATTTGGGTTGGAGGTGTGTGGTGGCGTCTCTTTTTTCTCCATTTTTCTTCTAACATGCAAAGTTTCTGGTGTGCTATTTCTTCTCTAGTCCATCATGGAGCCTAGGATGCCTCATTATCACCTTTAATCTTGATATTGAGCAATCCAAGCCCTGCTATGATTACGCTTCTTTTGTCTTGCTTGGTATGCTTGATCTGCAATGGAAGAGCTACCCACTCTGCTTATGGATAGGTTGTTTAAGATATTGTTTTTCTCTGGTGATTTCTGTATTGACATGAAGCTGTTGTGGCCTACTGCTTCCTTCCCAATCAACTGGAGTGCTATCTCCTGCCTTCCTGGAATTGGTGGCCTCTTTCAGAAAGCTCTTCTTGTTCTCTGACAGCTACACTGGTTGACTATTTGCCAATGTTATTTTATTGCAGAAAAATAAAAAGATTTCTGCATGTAGAAATGTAAAGAAATTGAACATCTTAGGCATAAACAAAAATTGACAAAATAAAGAATTAAAGATTTTTCAAATGCAGAATCAGTACCTGATATCGTCCCAACAAATGAAGAACAATGCAAGCATTTGCCAAATCGATGAGCCAATAGGGCTTGAAGAACCCAAACCCTGTCAAGAGATTTCCAGGTGTATTGTTGCCAAAAAGCTGCATATCCAAAGCATCCACAACATAGGCGTCATTAAGAAAGTTATGATAACGGTTTCATATTTGAATTGCTCTACATAAATAAATAAATAAACATATATTAACGATATTTCAGACACAAGTACCCTTATCTAAAAGACTAGAACATGAAATGAAGTAGCAATCCATATGGAAGAAAAGATAGGTAAAGCGCTGAACAAAATAAAGGTGATGTACACTCAAACGTATTAAGAGTTAATCTTGCAAGGGCATCAATCCAAACAATCGCAAACATAAAGGGATGTACAAAGAAGCTTTTTGTATAGGGTAGTGGGCCAACATGTGGTTTTTGAGATTGGCAAAAGGATGTGTATGTAGATTTAAAGTTGGAAATCACAGACAGATGTTTTGGTTTAAATAGCTTTTTGCTTTTGCATATGTACTGCTGCATAAGAAATTGCTAAAGAAATAGCCCTGCAAAAGGCTTGAGTGTGTAAACTGTTTCTTCTAGCACTTCAGTATTTTGGACCTTTAAATGGGTGGCCAATGATGCAATGTCCTACTAATCCTAAGGCCAATGTGTTCTTTTCTGATACACTGGGCATGGGCTCATATGACCTAGCTTACAAATTTAGACCTGAACAAGATTAGCAGCTTCAAGTCACATGATAGGCAGCAAGTTCACATGCCCTTTACCCTAGCTTCTTTAGCCCAACAACTCTAAAGATACCCTTCTTTAGCCCACCATCACTCACCAGGTCTTTACTAAAGTTGGACTGCAGTGACAATTGTTGCTGATCATGCAATGTTCTTTCAAAATTCTGTCTCTCTCTTTACTAAAGAGAGTCCAATACTGGCGAATAAAAAGGCAATGTAACAAGCAGATAGTAGAAAAGAAGAAGATAAGGAGAAATTAGTGAAACAATATTCATCAAAACATCTGACGTTGTTAGTTGGTGAGGAGACTTCTCTTTCTCTTGGTGCTTGGCTCGTTCTTTTGGCTCTGACTATAAGATTGTTGCTTCCTTTCTTGACTCCTATGGTAATCTCTCCATAGATCATTCTATGCCCTTTAATGCGTTTGTATATGTATATATATTTGGTATTGTGACGTAACAGAAACTCATAAGAAAATAATAAATACTGTTGATCTGAAATCTAGATGTCGGTCTACTATAATATGTTGAATTGCACATACAAATACAAAAAAATAAACTTCAAATCTATTGATTCAAAAAATATCGAGAATTGAAAAAACTGAGATACTCTCACAAAATTTATTAATCAAGCAAAAGTGACATTTTTTTGGCTAAAAATCTTACATAAATAGTAAAAACCCTCAAGAAATTTGAGAAGGAAACAAACATTAAAAATCCAAAAGTAAATAGGAAAAAAAACCCGAAAATCTCGTAAGACAAGTAAAATGCACTTTTGAGGGTCTAAACGATGTTTTTTTTTTGGCTAAAATCACTCCTAACACATGGGTAAAGCCCATGAGTTTTACTTGTTGAGCCGTTTGGTATCGAATTAAGTCCAAAAACTCTTAAAATTAAGACGACAATCCTAAATCACGTTATCACCCATTATTGTGCCGCTCCATGAATTTCAAGGCCTTTTTGTACACTTCATACTGTGTATGTAGTGAAGATTGTCATTTCTTTATTATCTTTTCCCTGATTATCAAACAGAAAGGCTTTATGATTAGTCAAATGTACTGAATCGTTTGATAGTCAAATCTAAACAAAAGAGCCTTTGTTTCATTACAGTTTCATGTATGTGATCATGTACTTGCTCTTGAGATTAAGGTTATTTAAACGATTTGTTTTAGTTAATGTTTTCAATTTTTTTCTTCTTTTCTATTAGATGTTGTGATCCAGAAAAAAAGAAAGCGATACCAAATTTGGAATGTTTAGAGAAGCTAAGAGCTGTTGATTTCACTGCTGTTTCACAGGCCTTCTCCTAATTCGTTGGGCCTGATTCAGATATTGTGTCTGGATTAGTCCTGAACTTAGTGTTGGGCTTGGATCAATCATGGGCCTAACAACTCTATTTTGCCAGTTTTTCCTTCTGTTTTTTTTTTTTTTTTTTAATATCTATGTTTGGCATAGATCCTGTCATTTTTTAATTTAACTGTTGAAGTATTTACTCTAATTTTAATTTCTAATGCATTCTACAATTTGTTTATATATAATATAATATTAAATTATTAGAAATATTATTATTATAATATTAAATTATAATAAAATAGTAGTGTCACTAACCTCTACGCAACCTCAAAAACACACAGAATTGAGCTTCAAGTGATTGAAAAGGTCTAGTCTTTTCTAGCAAAGCAAGATGTCTATAAACCGGAAGGAAGAACTGACCAGATTAGCAGCAATACCTATTCCTTTTGCAATAGAGCAGGAAAAGGACGTGATTGCTGAAATTACTGAGAGCGATTGCATGTTGCGAGAATCAGAGAAAAGAACTCTTGTTGAAAACATGAAATGAACTAGCAATCCTCCACAGAGAAAAGACAGGAAAAGCACTAAACAAAAATACAGGTGATGTAGAGACATAATTAGCATGTCAAGAATTAATCTTGCAAGGGCATTAATCCAAAACAATCTCAAACACAAGGGATGTGAACAATGTGTAAATCACAGAATTGGGTGAGGAAGCACTTCATGCTTGGTTGAAGTAGTAATAATATTGGAGAAAACCATCAAATCATGTTTTTGTTCAACCTGACTTGTCACTGCATCAAATTAGAAAGCACATAAAGCATAGGAAAATTATGTAGTGATTTCTGAGACAAGTTCGAAGCAAAACAAAACAAGGAAATTGGCCCTGCTATATCCATCCTAGCTGTGTGGTGCTCCAAGCCAAGGACAGAACTCCAGAGCCGTTAACAGCAGTAAAAATACAAGCAATGCAAATCCATAAGGTCGCTGGTTGAGTTTTCCAGAGACCAAATTCAAGATTAAATTGCAAAAATTGCGTAAAGTTTGAATACATAATCTGGTACAGTTATGTACAATAACTTGGAAATAAAGGATCCTCTTCCTGAGGAACTACTGCCTTAGGTGGAGGCCAGTATTATAAACTAAATCCCCATAGAGGAGTTGTTGTTTCTCGTTAAGATTGAGCTGAACCATGTGAAAATAAATTCAAAGTCTAGAAAGATAAAATGTAATCGACCAAGCTTGCAAGAGAGCGGTAAGAAGAGCCCCCTTTCCTTAGACAAAGTTTTACCTTCTCTTTCAAAGACATAATTCTCTCCCTTATTCCTTCCCTTTCTGCCTCCACCATTAATCTTTTGATTATCCTCTCTATCTTCCCTCTCTCAACCATATCATCCAAATGTATCCCAATTTTCCAAACATCACTTGCATATCTAGCTACCACTTTCTGGTCAGCACCTGAAGGCCGACAAATCATGGGCACCCCTTCACAAATGCCTTCTAATGTGGAATTCCACCCGTTGTGTGTCCAAAATCCTCCAGTGGCAGGGTGTGCTAGAACCTCTTGTTGAGGAGCCCATTTCACGATATAACCCCTTTCACCTACCATCTCAAGGAATCCTTCCGGCAACAGTTCAAGGCACTCTGAGCCCCGGACTAATCCCGGTCGAACAACCCACAAGAAAGGTTGATTGCTATTGGCTAGCCCCCAAGCTATCTCCTGAAATTCATTCTTTGTTATGGCTGCAACACTTCCAAAGCTCACATAGAGTACAGAATTAGGAGCTTGGGCATCTAGCCAGGAAATGCAGCTTCGATCTTGTGTTAATAAACTGCTTGAAGAGGCTGGCAAGTACTTGTGAAATGGACCTATTGTGAAACTGGGAATAGGAAAGTCCTGGCATAATCTAGTAAGTGAATCTTTCTGGAGCTCTTCAAAAGAGTTCCAAATGAGTGCTGATGAGGCCTTGCTTCCATTTATCACTCGGGCTATATAACGATGAAAGTCTTCGGATTTAATTTCCGGAAGATCTTTCACTTTAAGTGGGGGAGTCTCTGTAACTGGTTCTTCTAGTTGAAAATCTAAGGGTGCACAGAAAATAAAAATAAAAATAAAAGTAGGAAACGAAAAGAGTAAAGACTTGAATAAACTTCGATATTTGGTTAGATAAGTAACAAATATACTTGTAGATTCACAAAGATATCTTATTCCTTTGTGAATTTTTTTTTTTTCCATCACTAACAGAGGTATATATATCCAAATTAAGCCCATTTATCATGTTGGTTTAAACTGAACATGAAATCCATAACAGCTCCTTGTTCAAATTTATAACCCTGCCTGCTGCAATTCATATATATATAGCAGTAGCATTTTTTTCTTCTAAACTTTGCTTCCTTGTCTTTGTTTAAAAAAGAATCTTCCTATATTTACAGCAGGATCATAGGGCTTACAAAACAGAAGTAAAGTTTTAAATAGTAAGCACGCACCTTTGGTTCCGAAATAACCCTTTTCTCGCAGAAGCGGAAGGGAAGCAAGAACATGGAATGTAGAAATGTCAAAGGTCTGTAGCACAATCCTTGGAAGCTTAAAGGTGTCAGCAAGAGCTTGAGTGAAGTACCAGAGGGCATCCGTAATTATGCAAGAAATTGGCTCCTCCTTAAAATCCAACAACAACTGAGACAAACCATCACTAAAGGGTTTAACACATTTGGTATTGAGGACTGTCACCAAATATATAGAAGGCTCATGTTCCAAGAGACCATCGGGGATCGAATAGAAGGTGAAGTGAGGGTAGTTCAGAGGATTTGGAGAGTTGAAGGGAAGGTGGATTATGATGATGGAGAACCCTTTGGAATACAGGATGTTTGCAAGTTGAAGCATGGGGTTTAGATGACCTTGTAATGGAAAAGGAAAGAGAAGTAGCGAGCGGCCCAACCTTTGTTGCATGTGAGACTCTCTTAGGCTTTCCATGGAGCTCCTTCAGTGCTGCTTCAATTGGATACCTCTGATGATCAACTCCTTGCTTTATTTTTGTAAGGAAAAAGGTGTGTTAGCTCAGATCGCCAAGGGGGTTTCTGACTCTCTCATTAATTATAATCATTCAGCTGAAAATTAGGACAACTACCGTATCGTGGCGTTATTTCCTTCAAATAAAATATCTTAATAATCAAGAAGAATCTGCACAAGTCCTTATAACTTGTAGGTCAAATTTGGAGAGCATCTCAATTTATAAATGCACTTAGAAAGGTATGCACAGCTTATATGACCAGTCAGCTTACAGCTTTGCCTTGATTATTCCAAAAAACTGTGCCAGAATCACAGGAGATATGCGTTGGTGATTGTTTCTGCTCTGAAATAAAATTAAAATTAATATTATTTACATCTACTGGGCAGAAACAGACGGTATGAATTTGAAAGCTACTGCTGGTTCCAAGAATAATATATGTAAATAAACTAATATTAAGGCTTTGAAAGCTAGAACCAGCCACCTTAGCGTTCAATGCAGCTTTGTCCTCACGCGACAAAGTTCTCAAATTTGTCATGCATGGTACCGTCGCAGTTTTGGACTTAAGGGCAGGTCAAATTTGAGTTGTTACTCTAAGTGAGATAGTCTTGAGTGCATTTTCAAATACCTGAACAAAGCAATTAATGCTCAACAACGATGCTCCTGCTGCAACATTTTTCTTTCCCTTGACAGGTATATTGTGAGTTTCGTTATTTTTACATTTTCGTTTTGATCCTTAAATTATAAGTATGTTTTTATTTAGTTTCTTAAATTTCAAAATGTTTAAAATTATCCTAAACTATATATGATTAATTTAAAATATATTTAACAAAAATTAAATATTTTTTATAGAGAGTAGATATTACAATAGTTAACATGATTTAAAGTTGTTTTAATCAATGAGACAATTTTATATGGTTACCCAAAATAGAATCTATTTTTTTTATTAATTCAAAATGTTTAAAATGATCCTAAAATATATAGAATTAATGTGAAATGTATTTAACACAAATTAAATATTTTTAATAGAAAGTGGATATTGCATTAGTTAACATGTATGATTTAAAGTTGTGTCAATTAATCGGATAACTTTATATGATTATCTAAAATAGAATCTAATTTTTTATTATTATTAATTTTGGGACATATTTGAGGGGTATTCAGTATTGTATTATAAGAATTTAGTTTAAATATTCGTGTTTCATGTTTATATTTTTAAATTTATGTATTTTGTTTTGATTTATAATTTAATTTTTTTTATTGAATTATTTAAAATTATTTCATAAATTTTATTTTAATATTTTGTTAGAATGAATAGTTAAATAAAAATTTTAAGGTATTGCAAAAAAAATAAAAAACCATTTAAATTTTCAAAGTGAGAATAATGATGTCTAGAATGTACGTTGAAAAACTTTAATAAGTTTTGATATATAAATATCAAAGAAATTAAAATCAAAGGACTTTTATTAACAAAAAAAAAAAAGTGAACTTATTACTATTACTAATTAACTAAAACTAAAACAAAATCGTTATTCTTACGTTGGTCACATTTTATTTAAGGTAGATTATCTTTAAAGTCACTATTTATTCACTATGCACTTAACATTATTTACTTAAAAATGTGCACTTCTATACCTATATGCTACGAGGAGATAGAAACGAAAGAGAGAGAAGAGAGGAGAGAGAGAGAGAGATGGATGATGAAAACCATTCCGACCACCTTGATAATCAATCTTACAATCACTTTGTTTGCTTTAAAAAGTAAAATCTGTTTATGATAGTTTCAAGTCATAAAATAATTGGAAGAGATTGGTTGAATTTCAGAAATATTTTGATTTGTATTTTCATGTTTTTTTTTTTTTTTGCATTTAAATGGATTTTAAAGTTATAAAAGAATTTATTTATGTTATCTATCTCATCTTGAGATGTTTTTGGATAAAAAAACATAGCTGAATTTGGTTTTGGGAGGGCAGAAATTAAGAAACTCAACTTGGTCATTGGTTTTTTCTTCTTTTCTCTATTTTTTAATTAAGAATTTTCAAGCAAAAATCATAGAATATCAAACGTTATTGTTTGTATTATTTTCGCATACTGTAGTGATTGATAAAATATATATACTAATTTTTTATATTTTAATAATAACATATATATTTTAAATTGATATATATATATCAAATGAATATATTTTCAAAAAATAACCTTCTCATCGATTAAGAATACAAAATAATAAAAACTCCAGAAAACTAGTAACCTCAAAAGAAATAGCATGAGACAAAGGAAAAATGGATTGAGGATAAGCAAACCAGACCCAATTGAAATGTAGAGAGGAACTGGTTCTTGCTGAAATGTAGTCTCTGTTTTGTTTCATGGGTTGGAGGTGTGTGGTGGCGTCTTTTTCTTCTTCTCCATTTTTCTTCAGAAATGTAGTCTCTATTTCTTGTCTAGCCGGTCATGGAGCCTAGGACGCTTCATTATCACCTTCTACATTGATATTTAGCAATCCAGATAATGCTCTGATTACGCTTATTTTGTCTTGCTTGGTATGCTTGATCTTCAATAGAAAAGCTACCTAATCTGCTTCTGGATAGGTTGGTCAAGATATCGTTTTTCTCTGGTGATTTCTATATTGACATGAAGCTGTTGTGGCCTACTGCTTCCTTCCCAACTAACTGGAGTGCTATCTCCTGCCTTAAAAATTAACAAAATAAAGAATTAAAGATTTGTGAAATGCAACATTCGCACCTGATATCGTCCCAAAAAATGAAGAACAATGCAAGCATTTGCCAAATCGATGAGCCAATAGGGCTCGAAGAACCCAAACCCTGTCGAGAGATTTCCAGGTGTATTGTTGCCAAAAAGCTGCATATCCAAAGCGTCCACGACATAGGCGTCATTAAGAAAGTTATGATAACAGTTTGATTCTTGAATTGCTCCACATAAATAAATAAAAAAACGTATAGTAATGAGATTTCAGACACAAATACCCTTACGTAACATGAAATGAAGCATCAATCCACAGGGAAGAAAAGATAGGAAAAGCACTAAGCAAAATAAAGGTGATGCAGACACAAACGTATTAAGACTTAATCTTGCAAGGGCATTAATCCAGAACAGTCTCAAACACAAGGAATGTAAAAGGCGTAAATCACAGAATTCAGCAAGGAAGTACCTCAGGCTAGTTGAAGTAGTAATAACATAAGCAACATCAGTCCCATACATGCTCAGATATTGAAGCAAACCACAAAACCGTGTCTGTGTTTTACCTGAAATATCGCTACATCAAATTAGAAAGCATATAAGGCATATCCTAACGGAAAAGTAAACAAGACTCTTACATCAATTTTCTGATTTGGGTTGGAGAAGTTTTCAAGGATGTCAAACACTGGGTTTCTTGGCTTAATGACAAAGGGACGTGGAGCAAGCAAAGTATCTAGGAAAAGGAAGTTTTTGATTTAGGGTAGTGGAACAACATGTTTTTGAGATTGGCAAAACGATGTGTACGTGGATTTAAAGTTGGAAATCACAGATGTTTTGGTTTGAATAGCTTTTTGATTTTTTTTTAATATGCACTGCTGTATAAGAAATTGCTAAAGAAATGGTCCTGCAAAAGGCTTCATTATCACCTTCTATCTTGGTATTTAGCGATCCAGATACTCTGATAACACTTCTTTTGTCTTGCTGGGTATGCTTGATCTTCAATGGATAAGCTACCTAATCTGCTTCTGGATAGGTTGGTAAAGCAATCAGTTTCTAATCTTCGCTTGAGGAAATTTCAGGCTAAGCATTCAGATGCTTAAATGTTACAAAATTAGCTGACAGAGAACAAATTCTTATGGATACCTTTATTCATTTATACATACTAGTTCCGAATCTTCTGATGTTGGGCCCAATATTAATATATAAAGAACGTTATGGGCTTTCAGATCAAGTCCAAAATTTGATTACAGATGGACTGACCCACATGGCCTGTGATCATAATTGATGAGACATTTGCAATACATGTGTATATATATAATCAATAATAATAATAAAATGATGACATAATAGCACTATAAGCATATTAATTTTTAATACTTTTTCAATGGAGTATGTCAATTTTAATTTTTTTATTTAAGTATATTAATTTTTTCAAAACTATCAATTAATTATTTTTCATCTAACTTTTATCAGTCATTTGCCTTAGAATATTACATTATGATTTTAAACTTTTATTTTTGGGCTTTTCCTCACATACTATTTGGTTTTTTTCTATTTTTATTTTTGGATATAAAGGCAATTTAGATATTTAGTATATAAAATATAAAAAATAGCATATAATTTTTCAAGGCAATATATATATATTAAATTAAACAATTTTTTTTACAATTATTGTTATATAAATTTTATTTTATGCTTGTATTTTTTAATTATTTAAAATATTTAAACATAATATATAATAAACTTATCCGCAGCAACCAACGGTTATTGGGATAGTTATCAACTAAATGCTAGATGAAAACAATGTCATATATATTCACAATCAAAATAATAGTTTTTCTCCAATATTTTAAGGTCGCATTGTATCTAAATGGCCGTGGGCAATGCAGGTGTATCTGTTTTTTTTTTTTTTTTTTTTTGATGGAATGATTCAATTACTTATAATTATCATGTCAAAAATAATTTCATAAAATATCTAGAATTATTTTATATAGAAAATTTGTATACTAAATTAAATCAAAATATAATATAAAAATTAACAAAATAAAAATGCAAATACATATAATTTCTATACTTAAAAACAAAACCAAAAATTTAAGCGAGATAAAAAATTACTCCTTTGGGTGACAATAATGAAGTAGGTAATGATTCTACAAGTGATAAATCTCAAAATTTCATATCAACACCCGAATCAAAGTCCTTCATTAATTTTCTCCAATATTTCAACTAGAGTTTTTTATAGCAATAAATAAATAAATTTAATTATTAATTAAATTGTTAAATGCTAACTTTTTTCCGTCGTTGTCAGTATAACGAAAATAATTTCAAATGCTAAATATTTTGCAATATAAATACATCATGAATCGTTCAATAATCAAGTTAAATTAATTGACAAAAAAAAAACACGTGAGAAAGATTTATTGTGCAATGCAATTTATAAATAAATAAAACGTGAGCTTATGCCCTTGAGAAAATTATTTGTCGGCCGAGTTGAGGTCGACAGGTTTTGTGGTGGAATTGAAGCCGGTTGAGTTATAGAGACCTTGAACTTTTGGCCTCTCTTGCTATACTTATATTTTCAGGCAAAAAAAAAAGTGTTTCAACAAAAATAGATTGTTTTTACACCATTTAGCTTTTATTTGCTTGCTTGTAATAATGATAAGGTTAACTGAGTTAATTAAAGAATTAATTACAATTGCTAAATTAATGTCATATAGAAGCTTTGTATGAAGTGATGAAAAATATTCTATACAAATCATCGTAATCATAACACTATAGAATATGAGACACGTTATTTTTCAAGATTATAACGTCATGTTTGCATACGAACCGAAAAGCTAGCCATAGAAATCTATTATTTACCAAAAAAAATATTTGTTGATAGTCAGATTAAAATTTTTAACTAAAGGTTAAGGGCCTGTGTTTAGTTTAACTGAAGATTCATGATCGATGTTTTAGGATCATTTAGCCAAGTTTTAACCATGTGCAAAGAAAAGGAAACTTTGCAGCAAATAGTTTAAGATTCATGATCGTGCATGGCTTGAAATGGAATTCAGACAGTGTATACTTTTGAGGAGAAAAAGAGACAGACACTGGTTTTGAGCATAGAGCAGAATACATGGGCTGAGGTTTTGCCTTGTACATCTACTAGGCAGTGACAGGTATGACCATGCATAGCTTCAACCCTCTATTTACTTTCTTCCTTCTTTCTTAATTAGGGTGTGGTTTGATTTGTTCCTTTGCCTCCAATAATTTCATATTGCAAAGCACAATCTAGCTAGTAATGACAAGGGATCCAAAATCATGAAACGTCCAAAAGTCTCACTAATGCGTTCAAGACTCTATACTGCCCTGTGGGAATAATGTTGACGGGAGCATCCAAGGAAGATCATCCGTACTTTTAGACCTAACTCTTACGTATTGGAGGCTTAATGGCGATCCCTGGCTCGATCAATTTGTCAAATTAAATCATATGGCTAAGAAAAAAGAGGGAGTGGGTCTACCAAGGATTTCTTTTATTAGGGTAGCAACAACATTTTAGAGTTTACCATGAACAAACAAAATTATAAATCCGAACCAAATGCATTAATTATGTTGTGGAAATTAAGTGTATTTTTAAAGAAAAGTTGGAGTCTAGGTGTTTGTTGAGATTAAATTAGTCGGATTAATGATCTTAGAGACCGGAGAAAAATGCAAAATGAAGAAGGAACATCGTAGCTATCTAGCCCGCTAATAGAGAATGCACGGTAACTAGCAAGGATGAAATCAAGCAGAAAGAGAAAGGGTTTTTTTTTTTTTTTTTTTTTAACTATAAGGGACGAGAGGACTTTCAGATTATATCCTTGAGAAAAACTTCATGCAGTGCACTTCCAACCTTTAGATCAAACATATATATTTAGAATGTTGATGTTATCATATAAAATTATAATAATCCATTGTATAAACTAATATTTTTTTAATAAAAAAATGATCTTATTCATAAAATTTCATTCTAAAGTCAAAACATAGAGAAAAATAAATTATATTTGTAAATAAATAAAATTTAATAAAAAAATTAATTTGATGAGAATTTCTATAAAAAAAAATGACAAATTGAAAATATAAATTTTAAACAATAGAAGTAATATAATTTAAAATATATGTTAAGTCTAAAATATGAAAACACGTTATTAATATTTTTTCTTCATTGAGTTGCGAAAAACTTAAAAAATAATCATGAGCTTTTGAAAATCTAAGCACAAAATCAAATAAAAAGAATTATCAAAAAAAAAAAAAAAGCATACGGGTGCCATCTAGGGATGATAATTTGACCCGCCCCGACGAGACCTTGCCCTGTCTCGTTTCGTCTCGTTTGGAGCGAGAGATGGTACATGAAATATCGTTTTGAACGAGGCATGGGGCAGGGGCAAGAATGGCCATCCTCACTCTCACTCGCCCTTTTTGTCTTTAGGAATAATAATCCGATGGAACCCTATGCTATCCCGTTTGAAACGAGAGATGGTATGCGAAATATCGCCCCGAACAGGGCACGAGCGAGGCATGAATGGCACACCCCATTGCCATCCCTAGTGCTATTTCGTTAATCTAATTTTTTATTTTTATGTGGGAACCCATTCAATCATCATTTTAATTAGGATAATTGAACAAAGAAAATTAAGCCAAAATTAGGAAAACTTGTTTCTCAAAGTGGAAGATTGTAGTAGTATTGGTTGAAAGAGAAGGGACATACATGCGAGAAATTTTATACTGCTTAAATAGTTACTAATAATATTTATTTCATAATATATATATATATATATATATATATATAAGAAACATATGGGAGAGGGAAAATTAAAAAAAAAAGAAAAAAAGTTTAGGTATAAATATTCTTATTATTTTTAGAAGATTTGGATGTGATTTTTTTTTTTTTATGCATGCCTTTTTCTTTAAAGTAAATTCATAGAGTAAATATTATTATGTACTTCACTAGTGTTTCAGAGTTTTTCATATAGATGCAAGACCTTTTTATTGATTTACATGCAAGCGAAGATTTAAACGAATGAATTTTAGATGGGAATAGAAAGTTGACACCATATATAGTTATTTACGGGTCAGTCAAAAAGTCATTTAACCTTAAAATATACATATTACATTGATACGATGTATGTAGAAATTTTTTTAATAAATTTTGATGAACACTAATTTTACAATTTGAACTTAAAACATAATAATAATAAAAAATAAAATATTCGGTGTTTTTTGTGTGTGTATATAGTTAATTTTTTTTAAAAAAAATAAAATTGATTTTGATGAATTTTCATTATACAAAGAAGAAGTAAACAAAAAACATTGATTTTTCTATTTTTTTCCCTTATTAATAGATTTTTTATTTCTAAACCATAGATGCTTGGTCCTTGTGCATAAGCCTCCCACTTATAACTATCTACCTTTTTAAAAAAATTTTAAATTTTAATTACCAAATAATTATTTTTAAAATTATATTTTTCCCAAAAACTTGAGAAAAAATTCATGCAATACACTTCCAACCTTTAGATCAAACATATATATTTAGAATCTTGATGGTTTCATTTAAAAATTATTATAATCCATCCTATAAATTATATTTATTTTTTTATAAAAGAAAATAGTCTTGTTCATGAAATTTCATTCTAAAGTCAAGACAGAGAAAAAATAAATCCTATTTATAAAGAAATAAAATTTAATAATCAGAAAACAAAAGAATTAAGTTAACAAGATTTTCTATAAACAATGTAACAAATTGAAGGGATAAATTTTAAATAATAGGAGATGTATTGAAGGAGTTTACAAATCACGGTATTTGATCAGCCGTATAATTGTCGTGAACTTGAGGATCGTCGCCGTATTGGGTCGTTCGGAGGGCTCTCCGACCTATGTAACGAGAAACACTATCGCATTGCATAGCATCCACGCTACTCTGATGAATAAAAAAAGTTATGCAAAGTCAACCAATCGCAAAGCACAACTCCCATCTCTCTCTCTCTCTTTTTTTTTTTTTTCCCCCTTATGTTTGGATAAAGTGAAAAACTAAGAAAAAGAAAGAAAAATATTGAGAATTTTTTTTTAATTTATTTGATTTTCAAAATAAACCTAAGAAAAAAATAATAATAAACAAATTTAAAAACAATAGCATCCATTTTCCTTCCAACATTTAAAAAATATATATATATATAATAAAAATAATAAAAAATATAAAAAATATTATCATTTTTACCCTTCTAAGTATTTAAATATAAAAATATAATAATAAATATATAATAATACATTTTTTTTTATGATTATTCAAACATAAAAATATATATTTTCTTTTTACTTTTACTCTTATCCTCTTATTTTATAATCTTCCAAACAAAAAAAAAAAAAAAAAAAAAATTTAACTTTTACTCTTATAACAATAATAAGTGAAAATTAATTCTGTTTTCTTTTTTCTTTTCTTTTTTTGTTCTCTCTTTTCTTTGCTTCCCAGAGGAAATACCCAAACACAATGTTAACGTTACACAAAATCACCTCAGAATCCATAACTTCTCTCTTAGAACATCATAATCATATAATATTACACAGTAAAAATTATTACAACGATCATCAACCACCTTACAATGAAAGAACCTACAAAAACACGAAAAAAACCATATTTTAATTTATAATTTATTCAGAAAAAAAACCAACTCCAAGAAAACTAAAAAGTCAAATGTCTTGAAACACTTTACATATCAGAATATATTCTGCTGGAATTGGAAAGGCCATGGGAGCAGAAGCAGGAGAAGAAGAGGCACCTCTGTTGCACCCTACTCTGCCATCAAACTCAACCATCAAGAGAACTGGTTTGTCTTTAAAAATTTTCTCTCACCATTTCTTCTTGATTTCTTAGTTATAATTCTTTCTGGGATTCTTTGAAGGGACGATATGGACAGGTGTGGCACACATAATAGCAGGAGTGATAGGGTCAGGGATTCTATCACTATCATGGAGTATGGCTCAATTAGGGTGGATTGCAGGTCCTTTAGCCATGTTGTTCTTTGCTTCCATCACTCTTCTTTCTACTTTCCTTCTCTGCGATTGCTATCGATCTCCTCATCCTGAATTTAGTCTCACCAGAAACCGATCATTCCTTGAAGCTGTTCATCAGACTTTGGGTAAGATCCAACCATATTACTTTCTTCGTCATTTTCAATTGTCTTGTAATTACCAGTGGAATAAATTTTCTGATAAAATATGAAGCCCAGAAGATAGAATTAAAATAATAAATTGTAAGCTATTCTCCACAAAAATGATGTAAGCTTCAAAGTTCGAAATGGCTTTCAAAATCACCCTCGAACTTATGCAATTTTTAAAGGTATTTGTTTGAAATGCCCCCCGAACAACAAAACTATACATTTTAGCCCTCTAGTTTGCAAATTCTGGATCTCTCTCTCATTAAAGTATAACATATGCGATGCATAAGGTTATATATAATTAGATATGACAAAATGAGATGCTTTTGCTTAACAATTTTTAATTTTTAATTGGACCACAACTACAATTATAGATGAGAGAAGGAAGAAGAATATCGGCAGGACAAAATTGATAATTGATAATTGTTAAAAATTTGATGATTGTCCCAACTATAGCAATCTTCAGCCCTTTGATTGATAAAATAAAATAAAATTTGTGGGCTTTACTTTTATTTGGTAGTGGAATAGAAGTATTATTATTATTATTATTATTCACATTGCATCATAATTGAATTATTGGTGTGGACCATCTGAAATATTTACTTCTTACTACCTTACTGTAATAAGTAAATTATAAAATAGTCCCTCTATTTTTAAGAAATTAATTAATTAGTCTTTTTTATTTCAAAAAGTAATTATTTTTGTCTATTGACCAAGCTAAATTTAATATTACTTTATTCCAAAATATGTCAACTTTTTTCTCATCTTTATATATTTTTTACATTTTTATTTATTTTTTAAAGCAAAAAATAGAAACAAATTGTGAAAGAACGTAAATGATTTAAGTTACAAGAAAATTTAAAAAATATAAAAAAATAAATAATTAGTTTTTAAAACACAGGGACTAATTAATTTGTTTCTCAAAATTAGAGGGACTTATATATAATCTACTCTACTATGGTTCAATGGGAAAAGAAAACTGAAAGAAACAGATTCATGTAAAAACAAGTAGCTTTTGAGGGTTGGTTCTTGACATGGATGCAGGGGAAAGGAATCCTCACAAAAATAAGCTTTTATGGCACAGGAATTGCCTATACTGTTACCACTTCTCTCAGCTTGAGGTATGCCGTTAACCTACCCTCAAACCCCAAATTCATTATCTAACCTTTCATTGCCATCTAATCTTCAATGTCGTTGAACTTGTGAACAATGAATATTCCTTTTGTTGTCTAAAGAATAATGCAATGCTCTTAAATTATGTAACGAAGAGCAATTCAGAAGTCAAACTGCTTCCACAAAGAAGGGCATGATGCTAGTTGCGAACAGGGAGGAGGCACCTTGTATATGCTTCTATTTGGAGCTGTTCAAGTTATCTTGTCCCAGATACCAGATTTCCATCACATACTGTGGCTATCGATTTTTGCTGCAATCATGTCTGTCAGTTATTCCTCCATTGGATCTGCACTTGGTTTTGCGCAAGTAATAGGTACAGTAGCTAGCTAGAGGATTGGAATATGGTTTGCCTTACGAATCTTGCGTCCAAGATCATGTTCTTTTATCTTTCGTTGGTTTTGTACCGAGTAACTTGACTTGTGACGAAACTTGCAGAAAATGGATATTTCAAGGGTGACATTGGAGGAGTCCCAGCTTACAGTGCAGTTGAGAAAGTATGGAATATATCTCAAGCACTTGGAGATATTGCATATGCCTTTCCATTTACCCTGATTGTTTTAGAAATACAGGTGTGTTCTAAATAGGCCATTTTTTGTTTTAGAAAGAAAAATATCAAACAGTGAATGATGATGGAACTTGAAAAACATGCTTGAAGGATACTTTAAAATCACCTCCTTCAGAAAACAAGACTATGAAAACTGCCTCAACAATAGCAGTCATTGCTACAACAACTTTCTACCTCTGCTGTGGAGGCTTTGGTTATGCAGCTTTCGGAGAAAATACGTTGGGGAACCTATTGAGAGGATTTGATTTTTCTGAACCATATTGGCTTGTTGATCTTGCTAATGCTTGTATCGTGCTTCATCTAGTTGGTGGCTATCAGGTACATGTCTGTTGATCTCAAGGAAGGGCAGCTCCATTATTATTCAGTACATCCGGAGTTGTATTCCCGTCTATGGATCAAAAGTACAACTCCGGATATGCCTAATAATTTCATGCAAACTTGATTTATAATGTATTGGCAGGTTTTCACTCAACCATTATTTGCAAACATTGAAAGATGGATTGCTAAGAACTACCCAAACAGCAGAGTTATAGGTAAAAATTTCACCTGCAAACTGCCATGGTTGCCAGCTTTCCAGCTAAACCTTCTCAGGCTATGTTTCCGAACAAGCTACGTCGTATCAACAACGACAATCACAATGATCTTTCCTTACTTCAACCAGGTTATTGGACTGTTAGAAGGGTTGAAGTTGTGGACCTTAACTATATGTTTCCCTGTGGAGATGTTCTTCAAGCAGAGAAATGTTGAAGCATGGTCAACTAAGTGGATCATGCTTAGAGCCTTTAGCATTATTTGCCTCTTTTTGTCAGCATTTGTTTTGATTGGATCAATTGAAGGGCTGATGAGAGCAAGATTAGGCTAAGGACTGTATTGTATATTTGTATTGATCCTATTAATTAATGCAGAATTTTACGACTGGTTAAGCCAACTCTTGACTCTTTTTGGTTCTCTTTCGTTTTTTTATATGAAAATATTCTTACTATCGAACCAAAAACGCAAATGTATTTATTTTTACATATTAATTTCTATTTATTTCATAATTTATTATTAATCTTTTGCAAATGGCATGCTTCCTGTTTTATATATAATTAAAAAAATAGATAGATACACATTCAAGCTTACGAGCAATTGACATTAAAATGTAAAACCTGAAATTTTGAGTAAATTATAAATTAGTCCCTCTGTTTTTTAGAAACAAATTATTTAGTTCTTCTTGTTTCAAAAACTAATTATTTTATCTCTTGATAGTATTGAACATGTATAATTTAATATACCATTTTTTTAAAAAAAATCATTTTTTAATCAATCCTTCCATATTTTTTACTTTTTTTTCTTTTTCTATTTCTTAAAAAAATCAAATAATTTTTTTTTTGGGTTTGCATGTAATTTCTCTCTCTCTCTTTTATATCCTTTTCTTTCCTCAAATTTAGTGTATAATTATTATAAATTTCTCTTTTAAGTAATTTAAAAATTGCACCAAGAATTCAAATAATTCTGCTAAAAATAGTAATTTCATTGGTCTCCTTTCTTCAATGTAGTTTGAGGCCAAAAAAAAAAAAAAAAACCCCTTAAGATTTTAAAAATCTTGACCAAAATGACAGAAGTCAAACCTAATGGCAATTGGCATGCGTTAATGATTTTATATTAAGGGTAAAATATTACAAAGATGGCATGGTAAAAATCTTTTCCGTATGGTAAGAAATTTTACAAAGTAAAATATTAGGGAGCGGAAAATGAAAGAGCAGAGACACTGTGCAGAACGTCTTCGTCTTCGTTTTGCTCCTAAAAAATGGATACCAAAAACCTTATTAACTTTTTCTATGCTCTCTTCCTCCATGTGGGTTTTCAAGATTCTGTACGGGGAAGGTTGTTATTAATCAAGAAACCTGACCCAACTAATGCTGCTGGATCAGCTCGTTGGTTGGTCTCCCAGAATTCGTGGGGTGTCTTGAAGTATGTATTCTCTTTCCCTCACTTCCTTTTTTTTTTTTCATTTTAGTTGTCTTATTGCTTGTGCTCATTTTGAAATGGTTTGGCTTTTGGCAAGTTTAGATGGTGATTTTCCATTTGATTCTTTTTTCAGTACTATATCAAGTGATTTGGGAGGAGCACCTTTTGGGTAAGTTTTTCCATTTCTTTTGCTATAAAGTTCTTCTTTAATCTCTTGTTATTAAGCGATGCCTTCAGAAACAACTCATTGAGGCATTGACAAGATGTTACTTCAAAATAGTAGATGTTGTCTTCGAAATGTTTAAGATACAGTTATTAGCTGTTCTGGTTTGGTTCCGACCGAATTGCATGTCGTACAATTGAGATGATTTAGAATGTTTTTTAAAGCAAGGGGAACTGTGCTATTTTTTCACTCTAGCCTTGGGGCCTCAGCCCTCAAGATTACAAAGATTTCTACATTTAAGTTTAACCATCTGAGACCTTTTGGGAACATTTAGCCATTTCTAGGTGTTTGGTTTTAACATTTTCTGAACTCTAGGAACTTTTGTATCGGTAGGATTCTTGCATAAGATTAACAAAAATGTATTATTCTTATTGTTAACTTGAGACTTAATTTTTATTCTAACAATTCAAGAGATAAACTGACTGTAAAAGGTTCGAATATTTTTTTAGGGGCTTTTTATTTTTTTCGGTCTTCTGCTAGTGCAATTAGAAGTTCCTGATACTGTTTGAATTATTTGTTAGACTTGAGATTGTTTCAAGTCATACTTGAAGGATACAAATCTGCTGGTGATTGTCAATCATTTTGGTCATCTTGACTCATCTATAAGCATTTTATTCCCTAGCTTTTCCATTTGATCACACACCCGCTGGGTTTTCTTTGAGCCTTTTCTCCATTAAATGATAAAAATGGGTTTTTCCTTCTACTTCTACCAATACGAGGTACAACCATCTTTTCATTTCCTTCTCTTGTAACAACAACAGTATAATCATACTCATAGCACAAACAAATAAACAGGATGTTTTTATATTTCCTAGCCTTTTCATTTTTACCTAAAATTGGCAGTTGTGGCGATACTTTCTTCTTCTTCTTCTTCTTCTTCTTAATAATTATATCGTGGTGAAACATATTCACATTTCTTGGGCTAAAAATCATGGAGTAAGTTTTGCTCGCACGTGTATAGATTTCCAGTTTTCTGAATTTTCTTGCTATTCTCATGTCCTGATGCATTGTTTTGCACTTCAGGAATGTTGTTTCATTTAGTGATGGCCCCCCTGGCAAAGGTAGAGGCATCCCATACTTTTATTTGACTACTCTTGATCCAACTGCGAAAAATGCGTTACAAGACCAGAGGTCTTCATTTACTATCAGCGAATACAGTTTAGGAACTTGTGGAAAGAAAGACCCTGAGAACCCCAGTTGTGCAAAAATTACGTTGACCGGAAAGGTATGTTGCAAGATCAAGCATCTTACATATATGTTGATGTTTGGTCTAGTGTACACAAGAATTGTATTGAATTAGGTGCCTAAGATCCATTCCATAGGAGAGCAACTAGTCTATTCTATATGTACATGTAACAAAGCCTAGAAACTTCATTGCTAACTTTCTGATTCTTTTTAGGCATTTTAATTAATATTTCAGGTAGTGGTGCAACCGAAAAAGAACAACAACCACAGCACATAATATAGAGTATAGATGACAACTTAACACTGAAATTTTGCAAGAAAATAAAGTCATAGCAATAGTTATTTCAAACCATGACGGCTCTCAAAACTCTAATTCTCAGATGTCTCAATTAACTCCCCGAACTTAACCCTAAACAAGATAATCGTAATAAGAAATGTTTCTATTTAGGAAATATCGAAATATCTAGGATAGGATATTCTGTACTAAGTAGGTCTGATCTAAACATTGAAATTCCAGTTAGGATATCTTAAACTAGGAAAGAGAATAAATCTCCTAAGAAGAAATCCCTATTCTAATTATTCTTATTTTTACCTGCATCAACTCCCCTCGATTGAGAAAGACTCCACTCCTGGCAAGTTAAAACTTCTACATACGTTAGGAGTGTCCCATTGTTGAAGCCCATCAAGGTACTCCATGAACAGTGCCATGCTTCTAGGGTCAATTTTGATTCTTCATCGTCACACGTAAAACACCTTTCTCGATTCAATATAATACCAGCCAAAAGAGTCTTAAAACACCAAACAAGCAACAATCCTTCCTGAAAGAAAATAAGATAGGTACTGAAAAACTTATATTGGTAGAAATACATTCCTTTGAAATGTTATTGAGAATTAATAAAGAATTTGAATTTGCTGTCATTGCACCATCTGACTCCAAAATGGCACTATTAGGCTTGTGTTGCTGATTTCTCTATAAGCCTTCACTGTTCATTCTTGACAAGGTTATGAAAAATTTGGTTCTGTTATATCTTCCTCATCAGAACAAGGGTTAAACATTGCCAACCTATGGAACTGTCCGTGTTGGCTTGTTCATCTTTGCAATTTTCATGAAGAAGATTGAAATTACCATTTGACCGATCACTTTCAGCACCAAATCTGAATTATCATCAAAGTTTCCTTCCTGATTTCCTTCTTCCTGCAACGACTGTGTTTTGTCTCACACATGACCATCACCTGGTTTCTCTTGATGCAGCAGCTATGGCTGCTGCGATAGGCCACCCACTTGTGTTGCCAAATCCAACCAATGTTCTTCCTGTTGTTTCTAGTTCAAAGTCCTTTCCCTGTCATAGCTTGTCACAAGTTCCCAACACGAAAGCTCCGTCTAATACTAAAACTTGGTGTCGTTACCAAAGAGCAAAAACACAGCACACAATAGAGTCTAACTCGTTGGATTCCACTGTCTACTGCTTTAGGGAATATCTAATATAGGATATTCTATATTATATAGGACTAATCTAAAGATAGAAAATTTCACTTATGATCTAAACTAGGAAAGAAAACAGGCCTCCTAAAATAAAATTTCTTTTCTTTTTATTCTGGCTTCTGCCTTCATCAGATAGGTAAACGAAATTGTCATTTTAAAGAACTCCCATTTGGATGGATGCTAAATATTTAATCATTTCTTTTTGGAATTTAAGGTTTTTATTACTCACTAGTTTCTCTTGATTTCCTCAACTTGAAAGCTTTTCCACCATCAAGGTACAAGGTGCAGCTTTACTGAGTTCCAAAGCAGGAAGAAATAGCCTCTTGCTGCTGTTTTTTTTTTCTTTTCCTTTTCTTAATTGATAGCTTGTTGATACGATTTTTCTGGAAAGTTGGAGTAACTGGAAGTATTGTCTCATCTGATATGTTAGTTGAAGGTACTAAAAGAAAAATCCAAGGAAGCAGAAATAGCTAGAAGTGCCCTGTTTACAAAGCATCCAGAGATGAAGGGTAATATACATATATTTGTAACAGCCCTTTTCCTTTATATATTTTGCAAATCTGAAATTCTTATAAGGAGTTGCCTAAAAAGTAGACCGTAGTTTGGCACCTTTTTATCTTATTGTGTTTCGCTCACTTTGCGAACTTGCATATTTAGCTTTTGGATTGTTGACAGGTTGGCCTAATGGTCACAACTTCCAGTTCTTCAAATTAGACATCAAGGATATATTTTTGATCAATTGGTTCGGTGGTCCTAAGCCTCTCACAGTAGATCAGTATCTACATTATAAAGTGTGAGTAATCGAGCAGAGATCCTGTGTTCTGTTATCAATCACATGACTGTACTGTATTTTCTTCAGAATTAATAAATTGATCAATTGATTCCAGTGTGAATTGAATGGATTAGATTTCTTAAGCTCATAGAGGCGTTTGGTATGACCTTGTTTTGAAAATTAAGAAAACTTATCTATCCGTATTTTACGAGTCAAAATTAAAGATTAAAGATTGATTTTGACTCATAATTTATGGGATCAAAGAAACAGGAAGAGGGAGACTTGAATCATTGTTTACATTGTTGTTGCCGATCACATTCTTTTAAGTATTTTGTCTAAAGTAATTTACGAAAAGTAACTTCATTCGACATTATTGCCAAAACTCATATACCGTTCATATCAAACATATCGAAGCTGTGTTCTCTTGCTGATGCATTTCTTTTTCCCAAACATGGGTTTGTATATTCAAATTACAAGGATGAACTTGTTGATACTTGATAGTTTGGAATGCCCTAAATGATCTCTCTGAACATTGTGGATGGCAAATGTGCATATTGAATCCATTGTAAACGGGAAGATATGATTATTGAATCCACTGTAAACAGAAAGATATGATTGTTGTATTCTTTTTCTTCTTTTTCTTCTTGTAATAATTATCCCTCATTTTATTATCTGGCAACTGTAAGCAAGTTGAATGCTATTATTTATTCAAAATAATGACTAACAATATTTTTATATCCGTATTTTTTTTTCCTAACTGTTAATGTAATCCCTCTAGTTATTTCTTGAAACAAAAAAATCCAATTCAACTGAAGAAGAATGAATGGATTCAGTTATAAGAAAATTTAAAAATATAGAGGCTTAATAATTAGTTTTGAAAAATAAAAAGGACTAATTAATTTATTTTTTGAAATTAAAGGGACTAGTTTATCATTTACTCACACAGCTCCTTTTATATAGGCATAGTTTCTTTTTTTTTTTTTTTTTTTTTTTAAGGTTTTTTGGGTGGTCGTAGACAAGGACTTGCTAGATAAAGCAAGCAATTGGGTCCATTTTGCAACAAAACTGCTTTTATATTCCTACCAGATGTGTTTGCTTTCATGGTGGACTCTTAACACACGAATATATATATATTAGAAGGATAATTACATTGTCAGTACATCACTTAAAAGTTTTTATCGGTCAAGTATATAAACATTTTTTTTTCCGATACGCCAAATTCTTTTATTTTTCCATTTAAGTACTCTCCTCCAATGGCTTGATTTCGATCAATTAATATGTAGTTGCTTTCATGGTGTACTCTTATCACCTTAACACACGAATATATCATCACTCATAAGAGGGTTTTAACAAAAAAAAAAAAAAAAAAAATTCCCTCCTACTTGTCAACAATAAATAAATAAAAAAGAAATAAAGTGAAATAGAAGCAAAGACAATTTCCTCCACTAATTACTTTTTTCAATAAATAAATAAATCTTATCTATTTCGTTCTAAAGATATTGTCCATTTTTACGTTTTTAGATATTTCAAAATTATTATCAAAATATTAAAAATCAAACTATTAATTACTTGGTATTACTATTATACTCTTGATTGCAACCTACTTTAATTATTTCAGTTCATTTTTTTCCTTTTATGTACATTCAAATGAAGGCTAATTAGATAATAATAATTAGTGTGAGACATGCAATTAATTATACTTTTTTAATCTATGTAAAAAATAAAATGGTATTATAAATTTGAGTACCAAAGAAAATAACCACTTATCGCATTTTACATCACATCATTTTTTGCCATAGTCATCTTTCGTTCAACATTTATATTAAACAGCCATTCTCCTAATAAAAATTAACAAAGCGACGGGTAATTACATACGAATATATATATAGAAGGATAATTACATTGTCAATAGTATCTGAGAGAGAAAGAGAGAGAGAGAAGGGGAGTGATAATGCTTACCAAGATGCAAGTAGCTACGCTTAACAAAACCATACAAAGGAGCGAAGGACATCTTTAGCATTAGTCTGCTCCCACTCTACTGTCTCCCACCATTCTTTTGGTTTTATAATGATTTCTTCAAGAGAAAGGGGAACCGATGGCGGCTCATTGTCAAGCAATGAAAGACAAATTGGCATCCTTTTTAGCTTCCGACATTCTTCTACATCAATTACTAGGAGAGAATCGCAAATCATTTTTGCACTACAAATGCTTTTCAGCTCTGGTAAATTCATCAATGTCAGATACCTTAACTTTGGGAGCCTGAATTCTTCATCCATAACCCCTGCTTCATCTCTTCTTGCTATTATATCCTCCATTGCCTCACAAGATTCAACGACAATCTCTTCCAGATTTACAAGGTCTGGCAACAAGACAGGTGGGAACAGTTTCTTCATACTTCTACATCCGTAACAATCAAACTCTTTAAGACTGGAAAATATAACGTTATAAGATGGAGATGGTGGTGGAGCAGAGCAGAACCAAGAAGGCGAAACCAAGCTCTCCATGCTACTGCAATCCCAAATCTTGATGACCTCCGCTTCAGTTGCATACTTTATTAATGATGAAGCATCCCATAAACTTTTGATCCTCAAGTCGCTCAACCAAACTGCTTTACTTGAATATATCCACCCCAAATCCTCATGAACTGCCTTATGCAATTGTCCTACCAAAATGTGATATCTGCTCAGTGATTTGGTCTCATCCAGATATTTGAGATACTCTACGAAGTCAGACTCACCTCTGAAATGGCAACTCAAAATTTCCAACTTCCTCAAGCAAGCTACTTCCTTTGCTTCAACTGTTACTGAATCATATACATTCATTATCAAAACTTGCAGTTTAAGGAGTTTAGGTAATATGCCACTAGTAAACTCCTTTACACAACAATCATCCAGTGCAAGATACGTCAAGTTGGATAGACATTCCATGCCTTGAGGCATCTTTTCAAGTGCAGTACTATGAGAGAGATTCAACCTCTCCAGTGTCGTGAGCTTCTGTAATGATGGTACGTGCCTCAACTTCGAGCAATCTCTCAGCAATAATGCTTTGAGACTCGTCAAATCAGAGACGGAATCTGGCAACTTTTCAATTCCAGTATCAGACAGATCAAGAATCTTGAGCCCATGCATTTCCTTGAAGAAAGAATCCTCAATAAAATGCAAATTATAATTACGGGATAGCAATAGAGTTGAAAGATTGGGACACCTTGGAGAATGGCTAGAAGGGATTTCTTTAATTTGGTTTTCCATTAGTGAAACTCTCACAAGATTCTCTGTCCACTCCTCTGCATCCGGCAATTCTCTTAATTGTGCACCTGCTTTAACCATGACTGCAGAGTTCTCTTGCTGTATTTGGAGGGACATGTCCCTAATCAAGTCATGCATCCTGACAGATTCATCATCATTGTTTCTAGCTCTTGTAATTCTACCCCTTTCTAGTAAGCAGACATGTAGAAGTTTATTAAGCATCTCATGCCCCTTGTCCAATTTTGCCTGCCTACTCTTTATCCCTTTTATTACTCCCTCGTCGATCAAATAACCTATCAACTCATCCCTCTCGATGTCAAAATCTTCAGGAAATAATGAAAAGTATAATAAACATTGTTGCAGTGATGAATCCTTCAGGTTTGTGTAACTATATCTCAATATTCGAAATACATCAGGTTCCATATCATCTTGCCTAACTTTTGATTCTTCCAATTCCCTCAACACATTCCTCCACTCGCGTATGTCAACCACTCCCCTCATGGTTGCAGCCATTGTTGTAATTCCTAGAGGCAAACCAGCACATTCCCTTGC